AGAATTGGTGGCAGAGCCCCACCGAAGGATTTCTGAGGGACGCCGGGCCAGCGCACCTCAGGAGGTTGGGGAATCTTGTCTTCTCTCCTGGAAGGATGGGCTGAACTGGTGAGATGCCAGCTAGGTCCTGGTCCTCATACTGGTCCTTCCTGCTTGCCCACTGCAAGGAACGGGCGTCTCAGTATCAGACATGGTCGTCCTCTCTGTCTGGAGCCATGGGATTGAGCAGCAAGCGGCTTTTGGAAAATCAGAGTTGATTCCTAATGAAAGGAAGTCCACACCCGGAGAGGCCAGGGGGTGGGTGGGAACCGGACCCCCTGCCTTCCCCCAGGCCCCTCCGGCACTGAGCCCGGGATGGAGGTGGGTGAGGCAGGAGTCTTGGGCAGAGTTCCGCGGAGCCCCTGGGAGTTCTGGCTGGGTGGCTGCTGGACCTGTCCCTCGCCCCTCCCTCCCCTCCCTGGCTAGGGCCCCTGGAGAGCGCTTTGGTTACCGAGGGAGGGATATGTGACCTGTTGAGTCCAGTTTCCCCAGGCTGATGGGGCCACACCCTACACTTTTCCTCTTCCTTCCATTCCCAACCTCTGCTCCTTCCTCTCTCCTCCCCTCCCGCTCCTCTTTCCCTCCTCCCTGTCACCCCCCCCCATTTCTGCCCCAGGCTCCACCATTCCTTCCCAGTCCAGCTCGCACTCCCTCACTCCTCCCCGTGCTCTTCCCAAAGTGCTCCGTGCTGGTGCCTCTCCCCGGGGACTGTCTGAGTTGGCAGACTTAGTCCTCAGAGCCCAGCACTGACGCTGGCACTGGAGAGCACCCACCAAGAACCGCGCTCACTGATCCAAACTCCGCAGGTCCAAGTGGAATTCTCTGCTGCTGCCTCCTGGAGGGAGGTTATTTTTAAGCAGCAGGGTCAGGAGCTGAGAGTCAGATGTGTTGAAGACACTGTTCTTAAAGGTGGGAGGGGCTTCAGCGGCTCCCACTGGCGATGGCTTCTCCTGGTTGTCCTTTCCCGTCCCCCCACCTCCGCCACAGTCCCTCCAAAAGCTGGAGGTCAGAGCCTCCCCCTCCACCAGCTGGGCCTTTGCAGGGTGTGTAGTCACCGGAGTCTGAAGTGGGGTCCAGCAGCTCCTGTGTCTTCAGGGGGTGCCTTTGTTGGGTGTGGAGACCCTGTTCTGCCAGGCTGAGTCTCAGAAGCCCGCTTTTGTAAGATCGCAGAAACTTTTGACACGACGCTGTAAACGGGCTATACTTCCATTAAAAAAGAGAGAGAGAAAAAAATCAGGTTATGAAAAAAAATCACAGAGAGAGCTAGGCAGCGCCGCAGTCTCTCCAGCTCCGGCTTGTCCAGATCCTTATCAAGCGCCTGCTCTGTGCATGGCCCAGGGCTGGGTGCTGGGGCCTGGTACCCTTCTAGGCACCCAGGGAAGGACAGTCCCTCAGGCGGTTGCCTGACAGTCCTGAGCTGGCAGCCTCAGGGGGCCCTGTTTGCTCAGAGGGGCTGCCTGACTCAGGTTCGGGAGGACATAGGGCGTGGGGGTGGGACAGCCCCTCCCCGTGCGTGCTGAAGTCCTGCCCTGGGTGGGGAAGAGCTGAATTGCTGTGGCTGGTGATAGGCCTGGCATCCGGGGGCCCAGCCTGGTGTCAGGGCTTCCAGACTGCTGGGGGCCACTGCCTGGCCTCTAGGCCCTGAAGCACTGGCGGGGGGGAGGCTAGCTTCCACTTAGGGGCGGAACTGCGGGGTGGAGGGATTCGTGGCACAGGGAGAGGTAGAAGGTGAAGGGATGGCAGACAGACTTCCAGGGCTCCTGGTCGCAGGTGGACTGGTGGATGCTGGGTCAGGGGCGAGTGTGCCTGGTACCGGTGTGGGTGACCCAGGGTGTTGGGGTGGGTGGGAGTGGGGGCTTGGTCTCTGGAGCCCCCACTGATGGACTGGGTGAGCCCTCTGTGTCTCAGTTTCCCCATCTGCTAGGATGCTGCGGGCCGTGGTGCAGGTGGGCTGTGCTGGTCCCTGAGGAGAGCTGGGCCCTGGAGCACGTGCTGAGGGTCTTTGAGCAGATATGGCCAGTTCCAGCAGGAAGGGGTGGGCGGCAGGGGGCCGTGATTTAAGCACACCCCGTGGTGAGACCTGTCCGTCCTCTCTGCCCCAGAGACATCCTGATCACCAGCCTGGACTCGGCCACCACCTTCGACGAGCTCTGTGAGGAGGTGAGGGAGATGTGCCGTCTGCACCAGGACCACCCGCTCACCCTCAAGTGGGTGGACAGTGAAGGTAGGTTGGCGTGTGTCCATCGGACTGCAAACCTCAGTCTGGGGAGCGGAGTGGGCGCGGCCCCTCGGGGGTAGGGGGAGGTGAAAACCCTGGGACTGAACTGGTCAAGTTTAACTAGCCAGCTTCCCCAGAGGGGACGTTGGAAACTGCTTCCTGGGAAGAGGTTGGCAGCAGGTGCGTGGAGGGCCTGGGTTTAGGGGTGGGAGGTGAGTGTCCGCCTGCAAGGCCTGCCCTGGTCTTGGGCCCCAGGGAGAGGCTGCGGGCCCCCTACCCGCCGTGGGCAGGCCCTTACCCTCCTTACGTGACCTTCCTTTCTCGTGTCCTGGGCTTTTCTGGTGGCCCCAGTGTCGCCTCGTCCCGCTCCGTCCCTCCTCTCTTACAGTCAGACATGCTTGTGAGAAAGCAAAGGGTTTGGGTTTGGGGGACGGTCCAGGAGAGACCCCCTCCTCTGGATGACTGCGCCTGGCGCTGTCAGCCTGGCCGCGGGGGACAGGGCAGACACTCTAGCTGAGCCCCTTCCGTCAGGGCCCGGCGCGTGGGCGCTGGCTGTCTGCGTCTCTCTGCTCCTGTCCTGCAGCACGGGGCAGGGAGCCCTTCCCTCCAGTCTGGGGCTGACTAGAAGAGTGTTCTCACTCACCCAAGCCGGGAAGCTAGCCCAGCTTCGCTCCGAGTGGCTTTCTCAGCTCTGCGTGGACTCGCTTCCCTGGGGGTTGGGGGACTCTGAGGCGGGGCTTGGACAGATGACTTGCTGGTCTGGCTGCTCTGGGACCCGCCAGCTCTGTTCTGGGCCACCAGTCACCAGCAGCGGGACTTTGCCCTCCCGAACTGGGGTCTGATGCCCGCCATCCTGAGCCCCTTGCCTTGGGCCTGCGGTGGCCTCAGCGATGTCTCCTGCCCGCCCAGGTGACCCCTGCACTGTGTCCTCCCAGATGGAGCTGGAGGAGGCCTTCCGCCTGTCCTGTCAGCACAGGGACGAAGGTCTCATCATTCACGGTCAGTGCTGGCTGGCGGGGCGGTCTGGGGAGCGGGGGGGCACCTCCTCGGCTGTGGGCATCTTTGTCGGGCCGGACGCCACGTGGAAGGCCACAGTTTAAGATCTTAGCGTGCCAGAGACTGTGAGGGTGTGGAATAGGATGCAGTTTGGCTTTGTTTTGTTCTCTTTCACGTTTTGTCACTCCAGATACAAATTGCTCTTCCCGGTAAAAAGTCAGAAACCCTCTTCTCCGGGTGAGTGCGCCTGGCCTTAGCCTGGGTGCCGGGGACAAGACGGGCACTCTGTTGCGCCTCTTCTGTCAGATCGTGGCCGCAGAAGCTGGGCTCCTGCTGTCGGCTCTCACCACCCTTGTTTCCTGGAGGCCGGTATTGCCGGGGGTGTCAGAAGCCTGGGCTTGTTCACCTGCCCTCACCCTTCCCGGAGCTCCGAGGGTCTGGGGCCCACGTGCCTGCGGGCAGAGCAGGGGACAGGGCTGCAGCCCTGCTCCGGGCTGGACAAGGCCCTCCCTCTGGCTTCTCCCAGGCTCACAGCCTCCCTCAGCCGGTGAACCTCAGCACTGGGCACTGTTCTTGATTCAGGGTAGCCATTGCACTGAGGGCTTCAGACCGCGCTCCCGGTGTCTGCGGGACCGCGCACTTGGCTCCAGCAGCGTGGCCGCCCTGGTGCAGCTCGTCCTCGTGCGCGGGGCGCCGGCAGCTGAGCCCAAGAGCGGGGGCTGGAGTGCAAAACTGGGCAGGCGGGTGGTTAAAATACGCAGCTTTTGTAGCCCTTTCTGTGCCTGTGGCTAAATGTGAAGCCTACCGCAGGCCTCGTTTTTGGGGTGGTGACATTGACATCTGTGCGTTGATTCTCAGCATTACAAAGATTGGTGCTTTTAAAGTTCCCTTTACCTTTTATTTAGGAGAAAGGAATTCAGCTAAGATGTATCGCGCGAGCTTCTGTTTAATGGCTCATCGTGGAGGCTCCAGGTGTATTTAACATGCTGAGTTTTGAGCTCCTTCTTGAGTGAGAAGCAGTGGGATGAGTGTGCTTTCAAAAGTCAGTGTTCAGAGGAATGTCAGTTCTTGCCCGTCTCCACGTTGATTTATCAATACAGACCAGGAGTTCTCCTCCGACGGCTGTCAGCCGGGTCTCTGACTGCTTTTTCCCCTGGATTTTTCAGGGCGTCTCCAGGTCTTATCAGAGGGCATTTGGCACCTTGTTACCTGTCGATGTACCGGGTTCCAAGGCTCATTAATGAGCATCTCCCGAGAGTGGGCTCTCACCATGAGTGGGCTTTGTGGGCAGGTGCGTCCGGTCAGCCTGCCCCAGAGCAGGGCTTCTCGCGAGGCTGCAGTGGCACTGACGCACTGTCTCTCTCTCCCCATGCAGTTTTCCCCAGCATCCCCGAGGAGCCAGGCATGCCCTGTCCGGGAGAAGACAGTGAGTACCACCTCTCTCCCACGGTGCGGTCGTGGCCACAGGGGAGGTGTTGGTGCGGTGTGCCGGGAGGGGGAGGGTGGGTGATGGGTGGCCCGCGGCTCCAGTGCCCCTCGAGGGGCATCTAAAGGCAGAGTGGGCAGCTGATGTGACCGCGTGTGGGGTTTTCACTGGTGCCTCTCTGCGCTTGGCTGAGTGTGTGTTCTGGCCAACAAGCCTGCCATCAGAGAGGGCACTGGCTTGGTCTGTTGGTGGCACAAGGGAAGTCCAGAACATGGCCTGATCTCCCCCTGGTGGGAAGGGCCCTGGCTGTGACAGCTGGACGCTGGCCCCGTGACCCTGCCCCAGCGACGACCACCCCCAAACCTGGTGATCGGCCCCTCCAAGTCCATACTGGCCCCCGAGCAGTCCGCCCCACCCCGTCCCTCGGGGCAGGGCACCCCTGGCTGGGGCGTAGAGAAACTTCACACCAACCACGCAGACCCTGCTCGGCCTCTGGCCTGGGGTGGGGGGCCCTGGGCCACAGTGGATGCGTGTTGAGTTCGTTCGCAGGACGGCTCAGCCCCCTTCCCGGCAGGGCGTCGTCACAGGGTGGGCTCCGGTTCGGGTCCTGGGTGGAGCAGCGCCCTGTGTGGGGAGGAGCAGACTCAAGCAGAGGTGGGCCGAGCTTGTGTTGTCCATCGGACCCAGTGAAGGTGTTCAGTGGGCAGTGAGCCTGTGAGTCTTGGATCTCGGGGAGGAGGTGGGGCTCGAGGTGGGTGTGGGGCCCTTGGCTCTGCAGAGGTTATTGGAGGGAGCAGCCAGTGGAGGACCGGGCTCTGGGGTCCCCCAAAGAGAACAGGGGGCCCTGGAGGGGCAGCCAGCTAGGCCGTGGAGATGTCCACACTGTGGCATCCTGGCACGGGGGTCTAAAGAGGCCAGAACCGCCCAAGGGGTGGTGGAGGTGCTGCCATGGCAGGTGGACATGGTGGTGGACGTGAGGGGCCTCTTTGGGAGGGTGGGTGGATGGAGGAGCCCCAGTGCATCCTGTCTGGGAGGCAGGTGACGGGCCAGTGTCAGACAGTGGTAATAAAGAAGTGGAATGGGGACCTTGAGATTCTGAGGCCTGGAAGCCACGCTGAGAAGCGGGGTGGGGAGCCAGTTCCATGGGTGAGCACTGCTCAGCAGCTAGTCCAGCCTGGGTGGAAGACACCAGGCCGCCTGGTCCCGGATTGCAGGTACTGGTGTGCACCTGTGGTTCTGCCACGAGTGGTGTTGGTCCGGGAGAACATTTAGTGGGTGGGACTTGCAGTGGTGCTGGGAGACGGGTGGGCCAGCCGGGAGTGGACTTCATGGCGAAGCTGGCTGGCAGGAGCCCAGGTGGCCAGAGAGGAGCCCATTGGTGGGGGGCTCGGAGCCAGGTGGATTTCGGGGTCCTCCTCCCCCACAAGGCTGCCCCCATCCCTCCCTCTGGGTGCCCACATCTCATGGAGAGGGACGAGCACCCTAAAGGAGCAAAGTTACACTTTGACAGTTTATGTGCCTTTTTGGACACACAAATAATAAAATAAAATAGTCGTTTCTGCTGGAAAGGTGGGGGTCCCCTCGACTGTGCTCTGTGGGAGAGGCCCCCCAGCTGGATTTATTTGTGACCCAGATGGCTTTGAACCATGGTGACAGACTGTGCTTATCTGCCCAGAGATGTTACCAACAGCCCACACTGCCCGTGGCGGTGGGGACACCCAGGCATTTCTGCATCTCGGGCTCCCATCCGTCCGGTGTCCTAGAAGCTGGAGCTGGCCGTCAGCTGAGCCCGGGGCCCTGGCGGAGCTGGCCCGAGAGTCCTGGGTCTGCCCTTTCTTCCACGACCTCCCTGCCCTCCTTGTGCCTCCCTGTCCTCCTTGGTGTATCCCCGTGTGGACGCCGCTCCGCCCTGGGCTCGCTCTCCCCTCTGCCTCGTGCGGGGGTTGGTGATCGGGTTGGCTCGGCCGCTGCAGTGCTGGTGTGGGATCATGGGGGTCACAGTGTCCGAGGGCTCGGGGTGAGGTGGACGTGAGGTGACATGCAGACGAAGGCCGCGTCACTGTGGGGGAATGTGGGGAATGTGGCTCCGTCCTGCAGGTGAGCAGGTCCTTGAGATGCTCTCCAGGGGCGGCTCTGAGGCTCCAGCTGCTCTGTTTTGTTGGAACACTCCTCTGGCGCCGTGGCGAGGCCGGGCACTGGGGTGAGAGGCTGGCAGCGGCGAGGGCTGGGTGCCCTCCTCTGCTCTGCTCGCTGAACCAGCTGTGCTGCTGATCTTGGACAGTAGGACTGCCCCGCTCTGGTCCCGGCGGCCCGGGTGCTCTGTGGGATTCTGGCACCAGCATGGGCGCCGTGTTCATGGGTTCCTGGCCAGGTGAGTGAGAGGGGTCAGGCTGGTGGGATCCGGGTCAGGACCACGTGGGGAGGGCTGGTGGGACAGATGCACTGTGGCTGGGGATGGGCAAGTGGAGGAGGCAGCCACGCGGTGGCGCAGGCATGTCCCGCGGGAAGCGCCATGTCGCCCCAGCCGAGCCTGTGTTCATGTCCGCGGAGCACCTTCCGGCACCTTCTGTTCAGGTGCAGTCTGCATTTAGTTGGTTCAGTGGGGTTTTTTAAAAATTGTTTGAAGTACACATAATGTAAAATCGACTACATCACATCGAACAAGTCGGTGGCGTTTGGTGCATTCACCACGCTGTCCGTCCGCCACCCCCACTGCTGGCAAACTGCACTGGGCAAGGGAAGCCCACGCCCGCCTGCAGCCGCTGCCGCCCTTACTCCGCCAGCGCCTGACCCCCACCAGCCTCCGCGCTGCCTCTGGGTCTGCCTGCGCCAGACATTTCATGTCAACGGAACGTGTGACGTGTGGTCTTTGTAACTGGCTTCTGACACTGGCGCGATGTTCTCAGTCCATCCGTGTGGTAATGTGCATCAGAACTTCATTCCTTTTCTTCTCCCAGTTTTTTTTATTGTGGTGAAGTACACATAAAATTTACCATCTTAACCATTTTTAAGTGTACAGTTCATCGATATTAACTGGACTCACATTTTTGTGCGACCGTCACCACCGTCCGGTCACAGAACTCTTCCATCTTCCCAGACTGAACTCAGTCTCCGTTAAACACTCACTCCCTGGCCCCAGTCCCTGTACCCACCTCCTCCTTCCTGTTTCTAGGATTTTGACTCCCCTAAGGACCTCAAAAAAGGGGTCACACTGGATTTGTCCTTTCGCGATTGGCTCACGTAACATCCTCAGGGTTCGTGCAGGTTGTAGCAGGCATCAGCGTTTCCTTCCTTTTAAAGCCTGAATAGCGTTCCCTTGTGAGGACAGACCACGCTCTGCTCCTCCGTCTTCTGCTGATGAGCACTTGGGTTGCTTCCATGTCTTTAGCTACCGTGAGTCGTGCTGCTGTGAATGTGCGTTAGGAACTTCTTGAGGCGCTGCTCCCTGTCCTTCCGGGCACATGACGTGCACATGGGATTGCTGGGTTGTTTGCAGTTGTTTTCTCAAGTTTTCAAGGCGCGTCGACACCGCTTTCCACGGCAGCTGTACCGTTCTTCGTCCCCACCAGCGGTGCCCGCGGTTTCCGTTTCTCCGTGTCCCCGCCCACACTGGTTGGTTTCCGTTTTGGCCGCAGCCGTCCCAGCGGGTGTGAGGTGGGGCCCCGTAGTTTGGATTTGCGTTTCTCTGACAGCTAGTGATGCTGAATGTCTTTTCACGCGTCTGTCTTCTTTGGAGAAATGATGCTAACAGAACCCAGTCCTTTGCCCGTTGTGAAGTGGGCCATTTGTCTGTCGTTGCTGAGCTGCAGGAGTTCGTTCTCTGCGTGTTCTGGACATGAACCCCCTACCAGATACAGGATTTGCAAGTATCTTCCCTGTTCTGTGAGGTCTTTTTCACTTTGTTTATAGTGTCACTTGATGAACAAAAAGTGCACTTTTTCATGAATTTGTCTATTTTTCCTTTGTTGCCTGGGCCTTTGGTGTCATACCCAAGAAATCGATGCCAAACCCCATGTCTGGAAGCTCTGCCCTGTGTGTTCTCCTAAGGGGCTTATAGTTTTAGATCTTGCAGTTAGGTCTTTGGTGCATTTGGAGTTCACTTCTGCGTGTGGTGTTACGTACAGGCCCAGCGAAATTCTTGTGTGTGTGGACACCCAGTTTTCCCAGCACCGTTTGTTGAGAAGACTCCTTTTCCGCACTGAATGGTCTTGGCGCCCTCTTTGGAAGTCATTTGACCGCACATGTGAGGGTTCATTTCTGGGCCGTGTGTTCTATTCCGTAGATTTGTCTTTATACCACACTGTTTTGGTTACTGAAGCTTTGCAGTAAGCTTTGAAATCAAGGATTGTGAGTTCTCCAGCTTTGTTCTTTGTGAAGATCTTTTTGGCTATTCTGAGTCCCTTGAGATTCCACCTGAATTTTAGGATTTAAAAAAATTCCTACCAAAAAAATAATCGTTGGGTTTTGATAGAGATTGCACTGATTCTTTAGATCACTTTGGGTTCTGTTAGCATCTTAGCAGTATTAAGTCTTCTAATCCATGGACGGGTGTCTTTGCGCTGACTTGTGTGTAGCTCCTCCTAGCACTTCTACAGTTTTCAGTGTGCAAGTCCGTCACCTTGTTAGGTGTGTTCTTAAGCACTTTATTCTTGATGCTAACGTAATGGAACTATTTTCTTAATTTCCTTTTTGGGTTGTTTCATTGCTAGTGGATAGAAATGCAACTGATTTTTGTGTGTTGACTTCGTATCCTGCTGTTCTGCTGAATTCGTTCATTCTGACAACTTGTTTGCAGAATCGTTGAGAGTTTTCTGCGTCATCTGTGAACAGAGGGAACTTGACTTCCTCCTTTTCGGCTTATATGCCTTTCGCTTTTCTTGCCTAGTTGCTCTGGGTACAACTCCCAGCGCCGCGTCGAGGAGCACGGGCGCCGGCGGGCGTCTCCGTCTTGTCCCAGCCCGTGGAGGAGAGTCTTCGGTCCTCGGCCGTTGAGGTGGCGT